AAAAAAAAAAAAAAAAGAAAAGAAAAAGAAAGAAAGGAAGAGAGAGAGAAAAGAAAGAAAGAAAGAGAAAGAAAGAAAGAGAGAGGCACCTCTCTAGGGTGGACTCAACCCCTACGGGCTCACAGCGCTTGGCGTGGGTTCACCAGCGCTTTCCCCTTTGGACAGGCATCTGGGTTCAGGGTACAGCCCGCAGAGAGTAGCCACCTTCCTCTCTGCGAGTGGGATGACGGTGAATTGCTTTCTGCAAGGAGCGGATCCCAGCCCCACCAGCAGGAGCGCCCACGGTGTGGGGTGTGGGGTGTGGGGTGTGGGGTGTGGGGTGTGGGGAGGTTGCCTGAAGTCCCGCACTCCTTAAATTGGTCCTTAAATTGTGTGGCCTCAGACCTGTATCCTCCTGGCTGTGGGCGTCCCTGCTGTAGGTTGGATTTTGGCGGTTCCCTGAGCTGTGTTTGAGGAGAGGGTGGAGTGCCATCTGGGTGACCGTCCTTCAGGGTCCTGCAGGTGGGCAGGAACAGCTGTCAGAGGCTTCCCCGGGGAGGGGGTGTGCGCCCACTGTGTGTGCACAGTGTGTGTGTGCCCGCAGTGTGTGTGTGTGCATTATGTGTGTGTGTGTGAGCGTGTGTGTGAGAACAGATGCCCAGGTTCAGGGGTTAAACTGTGAGCCTGGCCAGAAGAGGGGCAGCGGCTGCAGCATCAGAGCCGCGCACCCTCAGCCCCTTGCCCTGCCTTCCAGTCCTGACTTCCTGGGCGCCCCGGGCCTGGCGCTGCCCGCCGAGCCGCTGCCCCCGCTCCTGGCGCCCGACGTGTGGGCCCAACTGGAAAGTGACTACACTAGCTTCCTCGAGGTCAGTCCGGGCGGGTCAGGCTGGAGGGGGCAGGCTCCGGGGGGAGGTGCGGCGCCCAGGCGCGCTGCGGCCAGAGCTGGCGCGGGCTTGTGACAAGACAGGGAGGCCCTCATCCCGGACGGCGCGGGACGGGGTCCGGGGGGTCTCACCGCGGTCGTCCCTTCTCCCCGCAGGCCAAGATCGCAAGCTGCTTCGACCGTATCTTGCAGCTGGAACAGAGTCGCTGGGCGGCGGCCGAGGGCCCCGAGGTGCTGCAGGGCCTCTACCGGGTGCCGCTGTCCATGGACGTCCACATGGTGCGGCCCAGAGCAGGGGCTGGGAAGGGGCGCGTGTTCAAGCCTCACGCACACGATGGGGACACCAGAACGGTCCTAACCAACCCTTCCGTTAGATGGGAGCCTGAGGCCCTGCGAGGCTCCCTTGGAGCCTCGGGACCTTGGGCACGTCGAGGGGCTGGGAGGCAGCTGGACGGGGGTTTGCGGGAGTTGACTGTCGGGTTGCGCGGCTTTCCGACTGAGCGACACAGCGGGCTGGCTGAAGGCGTGGCGGAGCTACCGGGTGAACTGCGGCCTGGGGTCGGCGGCTGGGACGCGCGCTCAGTGCGGGGCTTCGTTCGCAGCTCGTGGCCGAGCACGTGAAGGCGGCCGGCGCCATCTCCGCGGAGCTGGAGGCCACCACCCTGCGAATCTGCACGCGGGCTCTCGGCCTCTTCGTGCCCAGGTGCGGACTCATCCTCGGTAGGGCAGCGACCCGGCCCGGTGTGCTCTGCAGGTGGGAGGGAGGGGTCTGCGCGGGGACCTGATGGGAGGGTGGACCCAGGGTCATCGCGCAGCCAGGAAGGGTCACCAAGGGCGCTGTGCATCCTGCCCCAGGTTTGAAAAGGCTTTTCTGGCGTCGGAGGCGGTGAGCGACCCACACCTGGGCGCCTACATCAATGCCTGCGAGGAGCTCAGGTAGGGCTCGGCCGCTCCTGCGCAGGCGCGGCGCGGCGCGGCCGGCAGGGGGCGCGCGAGCGCCGGGAACCTGGATGGAGGGGAGTGCGCGCGCACGGAGGGGGCAGAGGTGAGGAGCGTGTGTTTGTCTCCGTGTGTTGGTGGACCTGAGGGGTGTGTGCGCGTGTGTGCATGTGTGTGTGGCAGAGTTGAGGGGCGTGTGTGTGTGTGTGTGTGTGTGTGTGTGTAGTGGAGCTGAGGGTGTGCATGTGTGTGTGTGTGCAGAACTGAGGTGTGTGTATGTGTGGTGGAGCTAGGAAGTTGTGTGTGTGTGTGTGCATGTGTGTGGGGTGGAGCTGAGTGGTTGTGTGTGTGTGTGTGTCAGAGCTGAGGGGTGTGTGTGTGTGTGTGTAGTGGAGCTGAGGGTGTGCATGTGCATGTGTGTGCGTGTGCAGAACTGAGGTGTGTGTGTATGTGTGGTGGAGCTAGGA